CAGAGAATACAAGGGTGTTTGCTATCCAGTGAAGATATTACCTGATTCTATTCACATCACGACCCCTATATCCCTAGCCAGCACTTATACCACTCCCTTGCAGGAGCTCTTGCTCACCTTTAGAGGAAGTGGGAGCTAAGGGTTAGTTCATGTAGCCTAAAAGCCACCTCCTCAAAGAGGCTTTCTCAGCCTTCTGTCTAAAAAAGCCCTTCACCTATGCTCCATCACTTAAATCTACTGTAATTAGCAATATAGCACTTTTTACAAGATGATATTTTTCTTATCTATTTTTTTCTGTTTATTATCCATCTCTACTCCTTTTTTCTTCACCCTAGAAGTAGTAGAAATCCCTGCCATATAGAAGCCACTTAAGAAGTATTTGTCGAAGAAAAGCCTGTCTTATCCATCATTGTATTCTTAGGCCCTGAAACAGACTAGGTATTTAATAATAATACTACCCAATATTGCTGAGCACTCACAATGTACCAAGCATCCTTTGAAGGATTTTACGTATAGTATCTCATATTAACTACCTCTGAGACAGTTATAATTATTATTCCCATTTTACAAATGAGGAAACTGAGGCACAGAAAAGCTAAGATCCCACAGCAAGCAAGAAGTAGAGTTGAGTTTCAAATTCAGGCACCCTTGACCCCAGGGCTGGGCTCTGAATTACAATTCTAAGTGTTCAATGAATCAGTGTGTGACTGGGAGAACTACAGCTAAGTAGAATATGGAGTGTTGAAGGCATGGAAGAAGCAAGGTGCTAAGTGTCGAGGAGAGAATTCATCATAGCTGAAAGAATTCAAGTTTTTGGATAAGTTGACAGTTAAACTTAGTCTTAGGATGGGTAGGGTGTCATGTGCATTTCGGAGTTCAGAGTTAGAACAGCGGGTAGGATAGAGAAAGGACAGGTTATGCACAGAAAAGAGAGGGAGGGAGGAAGGAGTGGGAAATAAGGCTGGAAAGGGCGGAGGAGGGCAGAAAGTGGAGGACTTTGAATGTCAGGCCAACAGTCGTGGTCTTGATGGTGTGCAAGCAGTGTGTCAGTTCAGATGGCCTCTCAATCTTCTCATTTCATCTTCACAGTAATCTCACAAGGTCCAGATTACTCTTCCCGTTTTATAGATGACACTGTGAATGTTCAGAGTTGAATTTTCCCAAGTATCAACTATTAGTCATTAGATGTAGGACTTTGATTCCCCTATGCTCAGGCCATTTCCATCACCAGGTAAACACTTCCACAACTCCAGGGAGAAAGGAATGATGCCACTGTACCCATCTCAACTTCCCAGGGGAAAGGAACGGAATTCCCTGGTCGCTTCTCCTTCTCAACCTAGAAGGCTGTTTCCAGGGGAGAGAGTTTCTGATGTGGGGGGAGGAGCCAGAGGACGGGGTAGTTCTGAGTGGGCTGGGGCGTTGGTGGAGAGAGAGCCTTGTGGAGGAGGGGAGGACTGGAAGAGAGAAAGCAAATTGTTTCGGGATGGAATTTTCCAGAGAGGGCCTCAGTCAGAGAACAAATGTGCCTTCTGAATTTTCGCTATAATTGTTATTGACCTTTAGTGAAATGATCAAAATTACTGTGCTGTACCCCTCCACCCCTACCCCTTTTTCACAAAATTGTTTTCCCTGACTTTTCAAAAATGAAGTTTGGCAAGCCTAGCCCTGACAGCCAGCCGACTGTGGGAAAACAATGCACCTCCTTATGGCCCCAAATGGAGCGTTTGCAATTAATCCATTGATCTCAGTAGAAAACCCTATTGTATCAGGGCCCGCCAGGAGAAAGCTGTATCCTGCCCCTCTCCCGCCCTGCACAGAACGTTCATTGAAGTCAGCCCCCAAATTGATGGCAGGATATGGCCCTAAAAGCCTCCAATTTAAAGGGGCCGAGAAAATAATGTTGGCTGGGTGGCGGAAGCTGGGGTGGGGACTGGGGAGCTGGGAGAGAATGGGGGAGAGGGAGGGGTTTCCTTCAGAATCTGTGCAGGACCAGAGGGGCAGGCATGTCTTTGTCCAGAAGGTTGCAAACCATGGGGTGTTTCTGGTCATCCTTTACTCTGCTTTCCTTAGTTTGTTCTGTAGTTTCAGACCATTAGCTATCTAGTTTGCTGATTGTTTGGCCTTTCTTGCTGCTGCCACTGATAAAATGGACAATAATAATACTCACTGGGATCTATAGAGCATTGTCTGGATACCACCCCCTCTCTGTATCACCTCATTTACTTCTCCAACAGCTTTGTGGTGAGGGTGATGGAGATTATGAGGACCAGCTCCTCTTAAGTGGGTCCTGCCTGCCAGGTGCTGTGTTACGTATTCTTTTTCATTTAACCCTTCAAATCCTGGAAGTAAACCGAGCTGGGTTATGGTATGGTTTGGCCAGTTGAACAGGAACTCAGTCCACCAACATTCAAAGGTGATTAAGTATCATTGGAAATAAGAGACATATTTGAAGAGTTCTGAGACAGAACAATGTATGTGGCTGGAAGAAAGTTAGATAAACTGCCTGGGGGGAAGGAATGAGCCGCACGTGGCTAAACTGTCTTCCATGGAGGGCGGATTGAGATGATCATAGGACTTGTTTCTGCTGAGCTGAGTGGAGTGTATACTGGGATGCTGCCATCCTGGGGCACCAGGTGTGCTTGTGAGGGTGTGCCCTGCACAACTCCAGCTCCTGGACCTGCCGTGCCTGTCCTCTCAGCTCTTCCCTCATCCAGTACATTCTCTTCTTAATGAATGTTAAACAATCTTCAAAGAATCATAAGTCCTTCAGTAATACCTATGGTGTCAGCCCTGGTGGTAGGTATTAGTCTCATTTTATAGGTGAGAAAACTGAGGTTCCATGCGGTAGAATGACATGCTTGAGGGTACACAACTACTAATTACTTGATTCCAGACCAACAAAAATATAAGCTCTAGGAAAACTGGGGTCCTTATAGTCTCACTCAGAGATACATACACCATCTCTAGCTAGCTTGGCATCTGGTATGTAGTTGGTACTAAAAAAATTTGTTACATAAATACATAAACTGCTTTTTGCTCTTTTTTAGGCTATGTGGGGCTCTGGCTCCTCTCTGTCTGCCTGGCTGCTATACTGCTATTTGTCTGATCCCATGTTGTTCAACAATCCTTCTTCAAGGATCTTCTGATAAGATAGGCTCAACCAACTCGTTAGCCAGACTGGTGTCCCCAGCTCCTGTCTGCACACTGGCTCCTCCCTTCCCCATTCCTCTCTGCCCCTGCCTTCTGTGTGGTAAATGAAGAAGAGAGTGGTGAACACACTGAATTGTTGAAGATTTTGTAGTCTGAACTGTGAAACCTCTGTCTCTGAGTGCAGCTGTGCATCCCAAGGGCTCCGCTTAAGGAGGCTTCAGATCAGTAGGCAGCTGCTTCAAAGTGCTCGCACGGAAGCTTCCGTCTCCTCTTAGAAAAAGCTGCAGGGGGAGGGATGGGGTGGCCACATCTATCAACCAGTGCCAGCCTGAGCCCCAAAGAGACCAGCCTGGGCACCATACCACGGGAACAGAGTATCTTTTGAATCTCTGCAATAGCCGTGAGGGGTAGATGTTGTCCCCACGGCATTGCTGAAGACACTGAGGCTTAGACGTGGTGAGTCATTTGCTGATACATGCGGGAGCCAGGACTCAAAAGCAAGGCTTTCTGTCCAATTTCACTTTCTTCTCATTTGCCTCATTTTCTAAGCTCAGCTGAGGCTTAGGGTAAGTGAAGATCAAATCTGAGCTTCCGTCCTATTTTCCCCTCAGGCTCGCCCTCACAGAGGCACTCTGAGGATAGAAGCAGAATCAGAACAGAGCTTGTGTGTTTTGTTATGTCTCACCTCTCTTTCCCAAGATTTCAAAGGCATGGGCCCATTTATCTAGACACTCAAGTTCTCAACAGGGGCGTTAGCAGCTGGGGAGTGGAATGCTGTTTGGAAAGGATGAAACAACACTGGCAGTGTTTATATTCAATTCCGGAGACCTGGTTAGAAAAATATTTTTAAAAAACGGAAGGAAAAGTAACCGTGCACTCCTAAAATGTGGGCTCATCGCGAGGGACTTTTGCCCTTGGATTCTATTCCCAGGAGTGGACGTGTCCAGCCTCAGACTGCCGTTAGGAGATGAAAGGGAATCTTTCAACATTTCCTCCTATTGTTTGTGCTTTCTCCCTGCTTTGTCACCACCGTATTCTTATTGGAATTTTGTTAACGTGCAGTTTCTCCCCTGGAAACAATTAGAAGAGAAGAGCTGTCAAAGCCAAGCAGGAAAGACCTGTGGCTCACTCCTAAGTGAGTAATTATCATGTGTCTTGGAATGGTTGGCTGCTTCCAGTTGAAGATGTTTGAGCTTAGAAAGGAAGGCAGATAAGCATCCAGTGAAGTGAAAGATGAGGGAATCCACCTGGCTGCGGGAGGTGGCTTAGACCCCACAGCAAGGCATGGGGAAGGCTGAATATGACTCAGGCACTGGAACACCTGAGCTCAAATCCTGATTGCACTCCGTACGAGCTGTATGACCTTGAGCAAAATACTTACCGTCTCTGAACTTCACCAAGTTCATCACATAGACAGGAATTCTATGTGTTGTGTGTTCTTGTGAAAATGAAATATGAGAGAATATGAAAGTGACTGGTGACTGGTACACGGTAGCTTTCAAATATGTCTTTTTCTTTTTTTTTTTTTTTTTTTTAGCTGGAGTCTTGCTTTGTCGCCCAGGCTGGAATGCAGTGGTTTGATCTCGGCTCACTGCAACTTCCACGATATGGTTTGGCTGTGTCCCCATTCAAATCTCAACTTGAATTGTGTCTCTCAAAATTCCCACATGTTGTGGGAGGGACCCAAGGGGAGGTAACTGAATCATGGGGTCCAGTCTTTCCATGCTATTCTCATGATAGTGACTAAGTCTCATGGATCTGACGGGTTTATCAGGGGTTTCTGATTTTGCTTCTTTCTCCTTTTCTCTTTCTGCCACCATGTAAGAAGTGCCTTTGACCTCCTGCCAAGATTCTGAGGCCTCCCCAGCCATGTGGAACTGTAAGTCCAATTAAACCTCTTTTTCTTCCCAGTCTCTGGTATGTCTTTATAAGCAGTGTGGAAACAGACTAATTCACTCTGTCTCCGAGGTTCAAGTGATTCTTCTGCCTTAGCTTCTTGATTAGCTGGAATTACAGGTGTCTGCCACCACACCCAGCTAATTTTTGTATTTTTAGTAGAGGCTGGGTTTCACTGTGTTAGCCAGGCTGGTCTCAAACTCCTGACCTCAAGTGATCCGCCCGCCTTGGCCTCCCAAAGTGCTGGATTACAAGCATGATCCACCATGCCTGGCCCAACCATGAAGCTTTTGAGATGGCCAAGTAAAAGAAGCAGGAACAGTATGAACAGGAAGCCTCAAGCACTGGCAACTTAATTTCTCCAACAAGGAACTGCATGTATGTTTGTATGTATTTGTGTTTTGGAGCAATAATTTAGAGAAGAAAAGAATATTCATTGAGGCTGTCTGTTCATGTGGGTTTTCAACACTGCTGTGACTATTAATCAGAGTGTGTGTAACTAAGCCTACCATTTATAAAGCACTGTTCTATCCTGGGTACTGTAGGAATATTATCTTGTTTAATTCTTACAACCACCTTATGTAGTAGGAATTGTCATGCAAATTTCCACGTAAGGAATTAAGGCTCAGAGAAGTGGTCAGTAGTAGAGTTAGGATTTTGCTTTTGCTTTTCTGACTCCAAAGCTGCTCCTACTACCACTGAATTCCAAAAGCTCTTGCGATCTCTAACACTCATATTAGTATTTAGTATGCACAATCTTGTGTTCACTCACACATTCAGTCAAGGAGCTATCACGTGCTAGAAACTATTCTAAAATGGGGGTATCCTAACTTGTAGAAGACGGTCTTTACCAATTACCTAAAATTTTTGAAATTCAAATTTTTGATACTTTGAGAGGATTACATTAATAAATGTATGAAAAGCACTTTAGAGTGTACTTGGTATATACAAGGTGCTCGGATAAGTCTTAGAACACTCAAACCAGGTAGTTTGAGGGGAATAGTTGTTGAAAGAGTTACAGGCATAGAGAAAGAAATGAAGGATCATGCTAGATCTCACGGCTAGCAACAGAAGGGCACTGTTGTCTTCCCCAGGCCTGAAAGGGTGAGGGGAAAGCATGGTCGTGGAACCAGGAGAAAGTAGCCACATAGATAGGGTTGTAGCCTTTCAAGAGCTGTGGCCTTTGGTAAAGAAATACAGCTAACCCACTGCAACCTGACAGAAAAGGAGCCAGGAGAGGAAATACCCTAACCTCACTTTCCTTTCAGTTCTGATCTCCTGCTGGTGGCACCCATTGGCCAAAACCAACTGGAGACTGGAGACAAGGGAGCCCCTGATGTCCTCTGCCTGGTCAGCCTCCAGGGGCACAGAGCTGTATAGAAAAGTGCAGACAGTGGATCTGGATGGGCAGAAAAAATATCCAGCTGCATATTCCATAAATACCAAATTCAAATTCCCACTCTGAAATTGACTGCAGTCAAATAAGAAAGATCAGACTCTTACCTAATGTTCACAACACAGGACAGGGTGTGTGAGTCTATCACAGCAGGCTTGAGTTGGACTAGATGCCACCTCATGTTTGTCACAGCCTGCAGTGTTTCCCCAATGTCTCACAAAGCCCACTCTTCAAAGCAGGCCTTAAAAACTCTCTACATTGGGGTTCAGCTCACATGTCCTCCTCCCACCTGATGTAGTGGCCAAATTGGATCACTCACAGTTCATGGTGTCTTCCTACGCACAGTCACACCTCTGTGCTTTGATGGAAGTGCTTCTTCCAGCCCAGCAGGCCCTGCTCTCCTGCCTTCCCCCAGCCCTTTTCAGCTCTCAGGGCACATACCACCTGCTCAATGAATCCTCTTCTGTTCACTCCCACTCAGATTTTTAGCATGATTTTCCTGTGCTTCTGCAGTATAGGGCTTGCTTATCTGGGTAAGGCATACTTCATTCAACAAACATTTCATTCAGCAAACATTTACCGAATCTCTATAGAGTTCCTGGCACTGTGCAAAAATGGACCACAAAGGGAATGAAGCCTGGTTCTTTCTCTTAAGAAACCTGGAATTAGCATTCTCCTTCTGCTTAATAATCTCTCTACTAGACTATGGGTGTGCTGAGGACAGGGAATCTGCTTAATTACCTTTGTGCTCTCAGTGCTTAGCAACCACGTGGCACAGACGTCTTTTAGGAAATGTGAAGCTATAGAAGAAAGAAAGAGAGAGGAAGAAAGGAAAGAAGAAATTAGTTGATTTATTCCACAGTTGTTTGGCGTCTAAAATATGCCAGGTCCTAATGAACAATGAATAAAACACAGGCTACACACGCCTGTTTGTGTGTAGCCTGTTTTATTCATTGTTCATTAGGACCTGGCATACACATATGTGTGTGTATGTGTTGGGGGAGGTGCACATGAAGACTCAGAACTTGGTGATGAGTGTCTGCAGAGCTCTGAGAACAAATCAGAAGATGCCCCTCTTGACCAGCTTTCTGAACTGAAGCTTTCCGAATCCACAGGAAAGAAGAGAGGGACCTATGTAGATGCCCAACTAAGCTTTTGAGTGGTGGTTAAAGAGACTCTTCAAACAATTTCAGAAAGCAGGTGATTTTTGCAATTGCAGGCTTATAGGCATATGGTATTTGGATGATATAATTTCTTTAATTGAAAGTGTTATCTTAACCAGGGAGTTTTGCAAAACCCCAAAACAAAGACATCTGTTGCTGTTTTTGTTCTTTTCCCCAGCAAACAATCTGGTGGTGAAAAATAGGAATGACTAAATGGAACACCAGGGAAAATCATGGATTTGAAAAACAAACCCCTACGTCTTTAAGAGGGGGGTAATTAATCGTGGCACAAAACAGGCGCATCTGAACAGAGTTTTCTGTGAAATCTTGGGTCATTATAACTCTACTTATTTTCATATCAATAATTATTAATATGGAACCAAGGGGAGAATTTGTGGCAAGTTTAGTACACTTCTCCGTTGTCCATGAACCTTAGCTATTAGCTCTTTATGTTGGTGGTTTGGCTAAATCTTTACACCAGATCCTTTGATCCATTTGCCTCCTGGACATCTCCCGATGGCCCAAAGTTGCCTCAAACTCAGCTGCTCAAAATTAATCTCATCAATCCACCAGAACCTGCTTCATCTCCTGAATTCTCCATTTTGGGGAATGTCCCACCAAGTCAGAAACCTCTCAGGACCTTCTCTCTCCTGCAAACCTCGCAGAAGCTGAAATCAAGATCAGTTGTCTCTTCTTTGGAAAGATTCTGCATTCTGCTGCCTCTTTTTCACCCCTACTACTTCTGTGTCGACTCTCAGGTTACTGCAATGATTCTGCCTCTCTCCAGGCTTCAATCCAACCTTGACCATGACCTATAGGGAAATGGCAGGAAGCAGAATTCACCTCACATAGTTCAAATGAAGAAACATTAATGAAGGAACTGCTTAGAGGGGTGGGGCAGGGTTAGTGAAATAAGCAAGGGATGTTGAGGCACCTAGAGACTAGCAACGGTTGGAAGCTATTATCACCTCTATAACCAAAGGGACAAGGGGAAGAAACAGATATTGAAGCCCAGTGAGAAGTGAAACTGTGGAGGAAGGGCTGCTCAGTGGTGCATAGCTAGAGAGTCCATGTGGCAACAGGGACAGAGCAGGGAGAAATCACACAATGCACCCTCTACTTGCCTTCCCCCTGTTGGTACTTCCCATTGGATGGACCCAGAGCCTAGCTCAAGGGAGCCCAGAAGAAGCAGTTTGCAACAACAGGGCAGAAAAGTGCTGAGGATGTATCTGGGGCATGGAAAAGGAGGAAAGAGAATCACAAGTCTCTCCCCTCTTATGTATTCTTTTTTTTTTCCATTTATTTTATTGCATTTTAGGTTTTGGGGTACATGTGAAGAACATGCAAGATTGTTGCATCGGTACACACATGGCAGTGTGATTTGCTGCTTTCCTCCCCATCACCTACATCTGGCATCTCTCCCCTTGCTATCTCTCCCCAGCTCCCCACCACCCACCGTCCCTCCCCTATTTCCCCCCAACTGACCCCAGTGTGTAGTGCTCGCCTCCCGGTGTCCATGTGTTCTCATTGTTCAACACCCGCCTGTGAGTGAGAACATGCGGTGTTTGATCTTCTGCTCTTCTGTCAGTTTGCTGAGAATGATGGTTTCCAGGTTCATCCATGTCCCTACAAAGGACACAAACTCATCATTTTTGATGGCTGCATAATATTCCATGGTGTATATGTGCCACATTTTCCCTGTCCAGTCTATCATCGATGGGCATTTGGGTTGGTTCCAGGTCTTTGCTATTGTAAACAGTGCTGCAATGAACATTCGTGTGGACGTGTCCTTATAGTAGAACGATTTGTAATCCTTTGGATATATACCCAGTAATGGGATTGCTGGGTCAAATGGAATTTCTATTTCTAGGTCCTTGAGGAATCGCCACACTGTCTTCCACAATGGTTGAACTAATTTACACTCCCACCAACAGTGCAAAAGTGTTCCTATTTCTCCACATCCTCTCCAGCATCTGTTGTCTCCAGATTTTTTAATGATCGCCATTCTAACTGGCATGAGATGGTATCTCAATGTAGTTTTGATTTGCATTTCTCTGATGACCAGTGATATTCTACGCTCTATACCCAAGTACTACTTCTAAAACCCCTACTATGTCTCTCCGCTGACTGAATCACTTTAGAAATTCCTCATTTCACTCAAGATAAAATCACAGCTCTGTAAGCTGGCATTGTCTCCCCACTGCCACTGGCCTCTCTAGTCCTGCCTCTCACCGCTCCTGGTGCTTACCTGACCCCCAGTTCTACTGCACTACTTCCAGGCCCCTGAATATACCATGCTGTTCTAAATCTTCATGGTTTAGTGAATGTTCCTTTCTTTTCCTGAAGTAGCCTCTCTCTCCTGACCGAAACCTTTCCAATACCACCTGCCCGCTAAGCTGCAAGTCTTCCTTTCAAGATTAGTTC